GTTACTGGAATACGAAAGGAAGGCCAGTTATCTTGTGGCAATGGGGTGTTAATAGCTGCTACTGACAGCCTTGAAAAGCTCCCCACCATCTCTGCTATATTGGAGGTACCAGTATTTGACATAACAAAAGAGGAGAAAAGCAAAGTTTTCTTCTTGGTGTTTTTGGAAGGCTACTTTCTTCCTTTCTCTTTTCTAAGTAGGGTAAAGAAAGGATAAGACTGTATGCTGTGAGACTTCATTGCTCGAAGCAATGGGACTGAGAGGCTGCAGCACTCTGGTATTCCTGGGTGGTTTTCCCTTTGCATTTGCACTGATATTCCCTTGTGTAATGTGTCTGCCCAGTGTCAGAGCATGTTACCAAATGGCCATAGAGAAAAGTAAAGGAATATGGCTGTGATAAATGTATTTCACAAGGACAGGAAAATGTGTTCTCAATAATACTTTTGGAAGCATTCTCTCCCTCTCCTTAGGCTATGTCAAAGTCAAAGGTCACTCAATTCTCACACTTATGAAGAATTCCTTTCATTTGGATTAGACTGTGATTTCATTGGCATATAGAGCTCTCTATGAGGAAACTCCCTCCACCAACATGTATCAGTATCTGCCTTGCAGCTTACGGTCTTGAGGGCCTAGGACATTGACTGAGTAGTTAAGTGTGATTTGCCAAAGGTCAATGCGGTCAGTGTAGATTTGAACCTAGGCCTTCCTAACTCAGGCTAGATCTCAATCCAATCCAACATGCTTGCCTCTCTATAAATAATTAGTTATAATAACTATGTACAGTCTTTCAAAACTGCACATTAAGTATTACCACTAATAGTATCCAGAAATCTTTTTTCACACCTCAAGATACCATCTTCTTTGGACATTTATTTCTGTGATATTGTATCTGCTAATCTGCATTGACTTCATGATTATGCTTAACGCTTGGTAGGTGATTTGACCACTGCATGGACTCAGGTTTGTCACTTGCAGATAAAAAATTATATAAAACAGGGCACAGTATTATGATTATGTTGGAAGACAGTTGTCAAGAAAATATGTAGTTGGATTAACTACCCTAATCGTCTATACATAAGAATTGTAGCAACAGCTACTATGATGTTAGGTTCTGATCATGAGAACAAGAGTAGCATTCAATTTTATTTGCTTTTCAGAAAAAAAATAGCCATTTCCCAGGACTTTTCTGCTTTTTCATAAAGCTTATTTAAACAATGAAAGGCAACATTATTATATTAAAGAATAAAATACAAGAGTAAAATAGAGTATTCTAGAAAAGTGGTTAAGCAGAAGATATACATTATATGTGATACACAAATTGCTGTTTGCAAATATTCTTTGAAAAAGATGCATATATTTAGACTCACATTTTACACCATGTATCTTAGTGGATTCTAGCTAGATGACAGACTTAAGAATAAAAAAAAACTTTTAAAAATATGGAAGAAAATAGAATAATGTATTTATCTCAACTATGAAGAGATTTTTTTTTTAAAAAAAGATTTGACATAGAAGGAATTCTTAAGGGGCAAGATATATGTTCTTAAAATAAAAAATGAGTACAACAAATATAAAATTATGATTAAAATAATTAGAAAGTTATTATATTTGGAAAAAAAATATTTACCACTAATGAGAAGTAAAAATTTCATGCAATCTCTGTCCCAAAGCCCATTGATATGGGACTCTTTCTTCACTGGTGGAAATAAATGCCCTGCCCTATGTGAGTGGTGAGGCAGGGTTTACAAGAGAGCTCCAGTCTTCCTCAGTCCTCTTTGAGATGCTTCAATCTTCAAGTCATCTTTGAGCTTTGAGTTGCTTCAAGAGCTTCTTTCTGGCTTCCAGCTTGGAGAAGGAAGATGGATGAGCCTAATCTCACTTCAGCTTGCTGAAGGAAGAGACTCTGGGAAGACATGAGAGGAGCCAGTGGTCTCCGTCATGTCTCTATCCCCCAGCCTGCTGCAATGAAGACTTTGGGGAGTTTCCTTTTGGGTGAGATTCAGAACCCTCTCTCGTTGTTGAGCTGAGTTACCTTGCTCCCAATGGGAGAGCTTCTTTATTCTGTATTATCTGGTATATAATACATTCTCCTATGTATACCTGCTCTGATTTCTGTTTTGCTAAGATTTGGATAAATTGGTCTCTTTGCTATTTATTCTCCATGTGTGTTTGTTGTGGGACTAGTGTTAGGTGGGGAAGAGGTCAAGTTTTGGACATAGAGCTTGGGGTCCCCTTTTCTGAATGACAGAGGAATCAAGAGTTAGATGGAACCCAATCATATTCCTTAGACTGATAATATTGAAGAAAGCAGATACTTCTAGTCTAATATCCCTTCTCTCTGAGGACAATAAGTTGGCCTCTGGTCCCAACCTCCTACTTTCTTGGCAAGAATGGAAGTCTCCCTTGGAGCAGGGTGGGAGCAGAAGATGAAAAAGATGTCTACTCTGACTCTCTTTGAGCCATATACAGGGTCCCTCTATTACACATGGGGCCCTACTTTTTCTAAAATTACATTTACACCTAAAATACATTTAAAATAGTTTTAAAATTGTAATGGTTAACTCTCATTGCTAAGTGGGTAATTGGTCAAAAGGATATTAATAGACAAATTTCAAGAGAAGAAAACATAAATTGTTGATAATCACTTGAAATAATGCCCAATCTCAATAATTTTTGAAAAAGATGTAAATTAAAACAACTTTGAGTTATTATCTTATCAAATTGGCAAAAACAAGTAAGAGTAGCAGAACTGCATACTGGTAGGAATTTAAAATTCGTACAGTCTGGCTGTGCACAGCAAAAGTTATTAAAAAAATCATACCCTTTAATACCAATAATTTCAATTGTTGAGAAAGTGTTATCAAAACCAATCCATTCAAAGATTTTCATAATTGTATAAAATTGGAAGCAATCTAAATATCTAGAAGAGGGATTAAATTGTAGCACAAGAATATAGCAGAATCCTATGATGTCACAAAATCAGCAAATATAAGAAAAACAAAGAAATCTGGAAAGAAGATTTGTGAAACAATTCAAAGTGGAAAAAAAAACCCAGAACCAAAGGAAAACTATATATGGGTAAGGAAGAATTTTGTATAAACATGTTATATATACTTATATGTGTACATTTAATACACATCAGCTCCTCTGATAGTAGATATGTAAGCTCCTTGAGGGCAGGGCTTATTCCATTTTTATTTCCCTAGCACCTAGCATGGTGCCTGGCATATAGTCAGGCACTTAGTAAAATGCTTGTTCAAATGAATATAAAAATGAGGAATCCTGAAGAGGATTTGAAAAAGAATGACTAAGAAGTTATTATCCTTTATGTGTAGAAATGAATTTATGTGTAAATAGTTATTGTGATGTATAAAAAATTAGAGAGACATAGTTTCTGAGTAATAAATCATCTCATTAATAATGCTGGCTTAAGGGGCCCCTGGTGGCGCAGTGGATAGAGCACCAGCCCTGGAGCCAGGAGGACCTGAGTTCAAATCCAGCCTCAGACACATAACACTTACTAGCTGTGTGACCCTGGGCAAGTCACTTAACCTCTCTGCCTAGCCAAAAAAAAAAAAATTTTAAAAAAATGCTGGCATATTATTAATAAAAGGACTGTCATTTGGTTGTCTCTCTTAGACCAAAAGACCCCTCATAGAACCCACTCAACACGTATATGCCCTTGGAAGAGTAGATATTCCTGAGGGTGTAAATCAACTCTGATTGGTTAACAATTAATGAAAGAATGAATATTATAATGAGAGTCTGGGGCAAGTAACTCTGGTCACTCAGTGGGAGAGTCAGGTAATGGTTAAATTTCCACAGAGAAAGAGAATAATGCAGAGATTTAAAGAACAATTCCAGGAAGTAGTACTCTGTAGGTGGGCGTGGGCTTGGGCTTAACCGATAAGAAGTAAGTTGATGGCTCCAAAAAGACTCCAAATTCAAGATAAGGTCAAGCCAGCTGAGACCAGTTAGGGTCAACCTGAGGACACCTGAAAAATGTTAGTGCGCCTGCTTAATGAACTTCATTACTATTATCTGACACACCCCACATAAAATTAGAGCCTCATTAACGAGTCATGGGATGTATGACCAAGGGAGGTGGAACATACTTGAGCATATCAAGGGGAAACATGTAAGGAGGGGTGTAACCCGGGAAGGGATAGACCAATCCAGGCCTGGGAGGTTTCGCGCTGAATTTGAATGTATAAAAGCACCCAGGCCTTGCACTCAGGGCCCATCCCTCATGAAGAGGAGTGGAGCCCGCTTCTGGCCAGAAACGTCTGAATCCTCTGGACTTTCTCTGTAATAAACTTTCTTGACACTAAATTTTAGGTGTCAAGCATATTTCTAACACTCAGTTTTGGTCAAAGAGAATTATCTATATTAATATCACCCATCTGACAAAAGGGAGAATCCACATTTTCCCAGACCTGTCTGAGTAAAACACAATGGGCTGAAATCCATCAATTCATTTAACTCTACCTTCTGAACAGATCTGGGTTCTCCCTCTCAGTATTAGCCCTGCACTTCAAAAGGCTGCCTGAGTAACCTAGAGGGGCTGATTTCTCAATGAGGAAGTAAGAAAAGGGGAAAAACGTTGGTCCTAATTCAATTATTAGTTATTAAATGCAAGAGAGAAATAATCATTTCTCTCATTACTAAGCAAATTTATGTGGCTATATTTATATTAAATATTAAGTTTTTAATAAAATTTAATACATTTTGTTTATTATTTTATTTATAATATATTTCCTATTTATAATATATTTTATTTCTAAATAAATACTTACATATAAATAAAATTTAATAAAATTAAATTTAAATTTTTTAAAGGAAAAATATGTATATAATGCCTATGGGTATACAAAGGAAATAAGAGAGTTATCATTACAGTGAAATGTTTTTTAGTGTTAACTTACCACTATAACTACACCAAATGTTCAAAATTTATGCACAGTGAATTAAGAAGAATACCTAAGTAATGTTCTGCTTACCAAGAAGAGGAGGTAGTGGAGGTACTACAGGGATCTTAATAATTTCCATAAGTTTACCACCAACAATGGAACAATAGAAAATAATTAATATTCCAAACATGCTTCCACCAGGATAAACTTCTGCGCCTGTATAGGACCAGACTAAAATCCAACACAACCCCAAGAGGACACCTGAAATAAGTCAGGAAAATAGGTGTCAAAGATAGAGAGTCCATACACATAATAGCCACGTCTCTGTAACAAGCCTCATTCTGTGTCCAGCTCTACAGCCCATACTGACCCTGTTTTACTTCTAGGGAGGCAGTTATTTCTGTTTGAATGAGTACATGCTTTCATTTACTGCATATCCCTGTGTCCAAAGCTTTAACAAAGATGTTCTTCCTTTGGCATTTTGTTTTAATTTTTATTTTTTTCCAGTTACATGTTAAAATAATTTTAAATTTTCATTTGTTAAAATTTGGAGTTCCAAAGTCTCTCTCTCCCTCTCTCACCTCACCCTCCTTGAGAAGGCAAAGCAATTTGATATAGATTATACGTGTGCAGTCATACAAAACATTTCTATATTAGCCATATTGTAAAAGAAAACAGACAAGAAGGGAAAAAAAAGGAAGAAAGGAAGAAAGAGAAAGTGAAAAATAGTATGCTTTGATTTGCATTGACTCTGTTAGTTCTTTCTCTGGAGGTATATAGGATTCAGCACGAGTCCTTTGGAATTGTCTTAGATCATTGTATTGCTGAGAATAACTAAGTCATTCACAGCTGATCATCATTACAATATTACTGTTACTATATACAATGTTCTACCCACTTCATTTTGCATCAGTTCATATCAGTCTTTCCAGGTTTTTCTGAAAGCATCATTTCTTATAGCACAATAATATTCTATTACATACACATATCACAACTTGTTCAGTCATTCCCCAATTGATGGGCATGCCTTCAGGTTCCAATTCTTTGTCTCCACAAAAGAAGCTGCTATAAATATTTTTGTCCTCATAGGTCCTTTTCCTTTTTTTTTTTTTTTAATGTGTCCAGGATACAGACCTGGTAGTGATATTGTTAAGTTAAAGGGTATGCACAGTTTTGTAGCCCTTTGGGCATGGTTCCAAATTGTTCTCCAGAATGGCTGGATCAGTTCACAACTCCACCAATAGTGCATCAATGCCCTAATTTTTCGATATCCCCTCCAACATTTGTCATTTTCCTTCTCCGCCATATTAGCCAATCTGATAGATGTGAGGTGGTATTTTTATTTCTCTAATCAATAGTGAATTTGAGCATTTTTATATGACTATAGATAGTTTTGGTTTCTTTGTCTGAAAACTGCCTGTTCATATCCTTTGACCACTTAGCAATTGGGGAATGACTTGTGTTCTTACAAATTGGACTCACATATTTGAGAAATGAGGACTTTATCAGAAAAACTTGCTGTAAATCCCCCCCCCACAGTTTTCTACTTTCCTTCTAATTTTAGCTGCATCGGTTTTCATTTGTGCAAAATCTTTTAAATTTAATTTAGTCAAAATTACCCTTTTTAGGGGCAGCTAGGTGGAACAATGGATAGAGCTCTGGCCTTGGAGTCAGGAGGACCTGAGTTCAAATCCAGCCTTAGACACTTAACACTTACTAGCTGTGTGACCTTGGACAAGTTACTTAACCCCGATTGCCTCAGCAAATATAAAATAAAACAAAATTACCCTTTTTATACCCTGTAATGTTCTTTATTTCTTGTTTGGCCATAAGTCCTTCCCTTATCCATAGATCTGACAGGTAAACTATTCCATGCTCCCCTAATTTGCTTATGGTATTACCCTTTATTGAGCAGCTAGGACACACAGCAGATAGTATGCTGGTCCTGAAGTCAGGAAGACTCATCTTTTTGAGTTCAAATCTGGCCTCAGACATTTACTAGATGTGTGACCCTGAGCAAATAACTTAACCCTGTTTGCCTTAGTTCTTCATCTGTCAAATTAGCTGGAGAAGGAAGTGGCACACCACTTTAGTATCTTTGCCAAGAAAATCTCAAACGGGGTCACAAGGAGTCAGACATAACTGAACAACAGCAAATCATCCTTTATGTCTAAATCATGTACCCATTTTGGTTTTATCTTGGCATATGATGTGAGTTTCTGCCAAATTGCTTTCCAGTTTTCCCGGCAATTTTTGTCCAATAAAGAGTTTTTGTTCCAAAAGTTTGGATCATTGCATTTATCAAACACTAGATTACTATGGTAATTTATTATTTACTATTCTGTATTATTGTGTACCTAATCTATTCCACTGATCCACCACTCTATTTCTTAACCAGTACCTGATTTCCTTTGACATTAAAAAAAAACAGGCAACATTTTGATATTGAATGTTCTTAAAATGTGATGTTTTTCAAAAATCTTTGGTGATATAATGTTGTCACAGTATGTTGTGTTTTAAAGACTGTTTGTAGTTATTGGAGGACTACTGTTAATGAGAGAATTCCCACTGCCCTCAGATATCTATCTGTTCTCATTCCTCACTACACTAACTCTCCTCTGTGTTTATCCCGTATCCATCATTACTGAAAACCATGAGGGAAAAAAAAAGCTAAAAAGTGTCTTGGGCATATTCAGAGCCATTTCTTCTACAAGTATTCCCTTTGTAGTAAGAGTACAACATCAGAAATCAGAATCATCTTAAAGCTTCCCAAGCCTGTCACTTAAGAGTTCATTTACATTTTGGGTTCAAAAAGTTACAATGGGTGATGGAGACTCACTTCCCTAAAATATCCCTCACATTGTTTTCAAGCCTAGGTCACTATTGTGTTTGGCACCTCTTAGAATCAAATTAATCCAAGGCGGTGGTTCTACTTAATGGCTTGCAAACCCCTTGGGGGTTTACACCAATGGTTCAAGGAATTCACATTAAAAATTCTGGTATGGTTCCTAAAACTGTAAATAACTGCCTAATTATATGACAAATATATTTTCCCATTGTAAGAACAAGCATGTACACATTTGAAGCATTTTAGGTTTGTTTCTGTAGCAATTCAAAACTTTCATGATCATGTACACACAATGACTTCGGTGTTTATGCAGCAATTACATCAAACTCTTACTGCTTCTAAGTTAGTTCAATGTATTCTTGCTGCTTCTCCACTAGTCATCAAACTACTTCCAAATCAGAAAAGGATTTGGCATTTGAACACCAACTGATTCCCAACAGATGGACAGATGAGTACACAAACCCTCATTTGTGTACAGTACACCACACCAGAGTAGATCTCTCCTTCCCCTTGGTTACCCTGTAACTGTAACTCATCAACTGGGTAATCATAGGATCAAGAAGGCTGACATTCTTTCAGTGCAGATTTTGGGCTGTTTGAAAATCAGGAGAGAGTGGCATGCACATTAAATGTCATCTCAAAACCATCATTGACCAATGCAAACTTTCTGCATCCACAAGCCTTCTATTGCCTCTCATTGTGGTATTAAGACTGTTTTCCATTTCAAATTTATTTTCTGCATATATTCTTTTTCTTCTATCTGGTGGATTTCCAAATGAACTGGTTGGCAATTGATTGTTCAGTAGAGTTTTTGTGAGAGTGTGAGAAGAGAAGAAAGACAAAGAGAAGAAAGAGGTTTCTCCCTTGTTAATGTTAGTTTGTAAATAAATATTGTTTAAAAATGAAGCAATATAGGAAATTGAACTTTAAGTATATTTATTATTTGATACAGTACTAGTCACTAGCCAGTTGAAAAGTAAATATCTTATATTGTAACTAGCTATTAATTTTCTTCAATTAGTTAAGAAGCTAAACATTTTTTTAAAAGTCCATTTCTCAGCAAGAAAGCTTGTAAAATTCTACCATTTTCTACCACATATTTGTGTGTGGCTATTTCCACTTTATTCTTGTTTTAAATAAAAAACAGGAATAAACTCAACGTAGAAACAGATTTGACTATTTTTCTATTCTAATAAAAAATTCAACATCAAAATTATTTTACATATAATATTATATTATGTCAAATATCTTCAAAACTGTATTTCATTTAAAATGTTTCAATCAGATTCGTAAAATAACCTAACCTATAGGACTAGGACAATAATGAAAAACTGTTGTGAGCAAAATTCTTTATAACCCTTAAAGCAAGTGAGTTGTGAATATTCTACTTAGAATTTCCCCATTCCCCATTAATGCATTGTTGGTGGAGTTGTGAACTGATCCAACCATTTTGGAGAGCAATTTGGAACTATGCCCAAAAGGCTATAAAAATGTGCATACCCTTTGACCCAGCAATAGAACTTCTAGGGCTGTATCCCAAAGAGATCATGCAAATGGGAAAAGGACCCACATGTACAAAAAAATTTATAGCAGCTCTTTCTGTGGTGGCTAAGAATTGGAAATTGAGAGGATGCCCATCAATTGGGGAATGGCTGAGCAAGTTGTGGTAAATGAATGTAATGGAACACTATTGTCCTATAAGAAATGATGAGCAGGAGGACTTCAGAAAAACCTGGAAAGACTTGTATGGTCTGATGCTGAGTGAAGTGTGCAGAACCAGGAGAACATTGTACACAGCAACAGCCATGTGATAGACTTAGCCCTTCTCAGTAATGCAAGGATCTAAAAGATCTCCAAAAGTCTCACATCCAGAGAAACAACTATATGGTGTTTGAATGCACATCGAAGCATACTATTTGCTTTTTTTTTTCTCTTCTGTTTTATTTTGTTTCTTCTTTCTTGTGGTTCCTCCTATTGGTTCTAATTCTTCTTTACAACATGACTAATGTGAAAATATGTTTCATAGGAATGTATATGCAGAGCCTATATCAGATTGCATGCCATTTTGGGGAGAAGGTAGGAGAGTGAAGGGGAGGAAATTTAAAACTCAAAAGCTTATGGAAGTGAATGTTGAAAACTAAAAATAAATTAATTTTTAAAAAATTTTAAAGGAAAAAAAAGAATTTTCCCATTCCCTTCTAACTTGATCTTACATACCATTTGTTACTACTTTGTTGAATTGTCCTCTGGGTGGCCATAATTTAAATTTCTTAGTTTTCTTTGATTCTTCCAAAAGAATGATTTCTTCAACTTTTTCATCTTCAAGATTCTAAAGCAAATAATGAACTCTTATCAGAAGTATATTTTTTGATAAATGTTTTCTGAACTCAATAAATTACCAGATATTTCTAAAAAATCAAAGCCCTTTATTATTACCATCAAGAATGAGCAGTTAGGTGGCATAGTAAAAAAAAAAAAACAAAACAAAAACCTGGAGTCAAGAGGACCTGAGTTCAAAGCTGATCTCAGACACTTACTAACTGAATGACCTCGGGCCAGTCACTTAACACCAATTGCCTTCCCCCTAAAATGGGGATCAAATAGAGACTAATATCCTATGGTGTCTTCATTGATAACAATGATAATATTAATACATTCATGTAGTGTATCAGTTTGCAAACAGTGAATGAAGGGGCACTCAAAGGAGTTCCAGCAGTGTTTCTAGTTCACCTTGATTCAGAGAATTATATAAATATGAGTTGTGCGACATTTAAATGTACACTTATGTAGATTTCATGGGTCTTTATAACAGATATGTAATCAAAAGTCCCCCTCAAATATTCATAACCAGACAAGGAATAAAAGACTGTAAAAGATAAATTGAACAATTTCAACAATGTAAAATCATGGCTTTTGCACAGACACAGCCAACGTAACTAAAATAAAGTTATGGATCATGAAATCTTTACATCAAACATCTGATAAAAGTCTGATGTACAAAAGCTACAGGAAACTGACACAAATTTATGACCATGCTTATCTCCAATTGATAAAGTCAAAGAATATGAATAACTTTCAAATAACAAAAAGCAGATGATAAACCACCACATTTAAATTTTTTTTTAATTATTAAGAGAAATGTAACTAAAACAGGGCAGCTAAATGATGCAGTGGATAGAACACCGGCCCTGGCTGGAGTCAGGAGGACCTGAGTTCAAATCCAGCCTCAGACACTTGACACTTACTAGCTGTGTGACCCTGGGCAAGTCACTTAACCCCACTGCCTAGCCAAAAAAAGAAAACAAAAAAAAAAGAGGGAAGGACCTTTTCACATCTTCTGGGGAAGGTTAACTATGCTATTTTTTAATTTTTAATTTTCTTTTAAATTATGGAAATAAATATCAACAAACATGGACATTTCAATATGCAAAGAAGAGAAAAAGACTGTATATGAAACTGTGAACTTCTTTTATGTTCAGAAGAAGAAAGTGAGGCTGGTGACTTTGCACAGCCCTCCCTCATTTAAATCCAATTCACTTGCAAGTCATGGCATCACCTTCCCGATGTCATGGTCCTCTTCGAGAATCGAAGGACAAACCACACACAGCACAGCACAACAACTTTTGCAAAAGAATAAGCATACATTTAATTTGACACATCACTAACAAAAGCCCCTGTTGGTTTGTGTCCCCTTTTGAACTTCCTTCTAAGGCTAGCTATTCTTATAACATATAATTAAGAGCTAAAAAAAGAACCTTAGAGATAATCTAGTCCAACCACTTCATTTTACAGAGGAGGAAAGGGACACTCTGAGAAGTGAAGTCAAGGAGTCACATCGGGTCACATAATAGGGCAACAGAGCTGGGATTTGAACCCAAGTCCTCTCACTCCAATTCAATAAATATTTACTAAGTACCTCCACTGTGCCAGGCTTTGTTCGTGGTGCTGGGGAAAGAGACAAAAATGAAACCGCACCATTTCTGAGGGAGCTTGCATATTACTTGGGAAAGCTTACATTCTAAAGACATACCCTGCGTTGTTCACCTGGCAGGTGAAACTCTAGAAGGCCCCCAAAAGTTATAAAAGCATTTGAGTGCAGTCCATGGACACACAGTCTAGATGTCATTGCCTTGTTAAGGTTAGAGAGGGTCATCATCAGAGGGTGGGCCACCAAGTAATGAGGTTCTTAGTCTTGTTGCTCTTACACCACACTACTCACCCATCTCTAAGCTAATGGGGCTAGCCCTCACAAATCCCACCTCTTTAGCTTTTACCCAAACCTATTTTGATCCTGTAATTACTTTGTTCCGCTCTCCCCCTTTAAGCACCTTTATATGCCCACAGTCAACCTCTGCTCATTCCCCCAAAGCATCTCTCATACTTGAACAACCAACCACTAAGAAATCTGATTAGTGTTTAGACTTCATATCAAATTTTCTAGAAAAATATGAATGAACCTTCTGTCTGATGATTGAAACAGTTTTGTAAAACATGATCAACTTTACCCGAGTAGGTACTTGGGGGTCTTCACTTTGGACTTCCATGATGTGTTTGCTAGGAAGATTTAAAAGGAAAAGAAAAGAAAACTGTTTTTTAAAAAAGGAACTAGAATATATACTCAACATCAAGCCAGATGGGACTCCCTTGTCCTCAGATGTTTTCTTTTTAATTACTAGAAGAATGCTAAGTTTGGGGTCACAAGCCTAGGTTCAGATTCTGGGTCTGTCACTTTCTCTCTTTGTGATTTTATTCTTTTTTTTAAGATTTTTTTTTTCTTTTTTCTTTTTGATGAGGCATTCGGGGTTAAGTGACTTGCCCAGGGTCACACAGCTGGTTAAGTGTCAAGTGTCAGAGGCCAGATTGAACTCGGATCCTCCTGACTCCAAGACTGGAGCTCTATGCACTGCGCCACCTAGCTACCCCTCCCTTTGTGATTTTAAAACAAGTCATTTACCCTCTCCTGGACTGACTTTCCTCATCTAGAGGATGTAAGGCACCTCCCAACTCTGAATACTTTGGCTCTTAAGAGTTTCTCTCTTAATACTGCAAAAATGGGCAAACAATTTTCATTTGTTTTTGTCTGTCTGACCACCCCTCAGGGTAGGTATCCCTCAAGGCTCTTTCTAAGATACAATGGATATATGGATATAATACCTCTATGCAGATGCTTCTCAAATCTACATAGGCAATTCTAATCTTTTCATATATTTGGATTTCATTAAATATTTCCCAATTACATGTAAAACTTTTTTTGACACTCATTTTTTAACATTTTGAGTTCTAAATTCTCTCCCTTTCTCCTATCCTTCCCCCACTCCTTGAAAAGGCAAGCAATATGATATCAATTATACATGTGGAGTAATGCAAAACATATTTCCATATTGGCCATGTTACAAAAGAAAATGCACACATAAAACAAGAAAAATAAATAAAATAAAAAAAATACTCCAATTTGTACTTAGAATTTGTACATCAATTCCCTCCAACTCAAACATTAATAAATGTTTGTTGATTGACTGAATCTCTCACCTGAATTCCACTCTCGCATTTTTATCTGCCTGCTAGACAGCTTCTACCTGCATATCCTAACAGTAACACCTCCAATTCAACATAACCAAAAAATGTGGTCATTCAAACATTTGTCCAAAAAACTACCCCAAACCTGCTCTTCCCCAAAACTTTCTGATTTCTATTCCAAGTCACGGAGGGTCAAGACTTTAAAGTCATCTTTCTTTGACTTTTCCTTATCTGTCATTCCATCACTATATCTGGTTGCTAAGTCCTGTTGATTCTATCTCCACAATATCTCTCACATCTGTCCCCTTCTTCCCACTATGTGGCCACCACCCTAGTTCAGGATCTCATCATCTCTTGCCTAGGCTGCTGCAATAGGCTCCTGTTTGGTCTTATTACCTCCAGTTTCTTCCCTCTCCAAACCACCTTTCCTTGCACAGCTACCAAAATAATGTTGCTGAGTCATGAGTCCGAGATCAGTCCTATGCTCACAAACCTTCAGTGGAAGGTTTTCACTTCCCTACTACCTCTAAAAAAATATTGAGAGAAATGATTATTTCTTTCTCATATTAATAACCAATTATTGAATTAGGATTAAAGGATTTTCTACTTACTTATTCTGAAATCACCCACTATAGGAAATCGGGAAAAACTTACCCAACCAGGATGAGAGAATCGGTGAATTCCTGTTCATTGTGTTTGGCCAGACCAGTCGGGGTAGAAGTGGATTCCCTCTTTGATATGTATATCAATAAGTCTCTTTGACTAAGATTTGGGTGATCAAGTCACATACCCCTAAGACCCTCATTAGAATGAGCCCACATCTCATTATAATATTCATTTTCTCATTAATTGTTAACCAATTAGAGTTGATTGCCACCCTCAGGAACACCCACTCTTCCAAGGGCATATGAACTGTAAGTCCACTGCCATGAGGGGTTTTTGGCACTTGAGAGTACCACTGACCTCTTTTATTAATAACATGCTAGCATCACTAATAAAATGACTAATTACCCAGAAACTATGTCTCTTGAACTTTTTAAACATTAAAATATAAACGTCTTAGCCTGACATTTGAGGCCTTCTACAATCTGGCTACAGCCTGCCTTTCTAGGCTTATTTCATATGACTTCTCTGTATGCATTCCACTTCAGAAAAGTGGACTATTCACTGGCCTCCAACTCAACACTTCATCTTTGGGCCTCCTTGTATGTGGGCAAAGCATGACCCACAATTAGAATGAACTTTCTCAACTCTATCTTTCAGAATCTTTATCTTTCTTCAAGGCTCGGCCTAGGGGCGGCCACCTCTTTTGTGCAGCCCTCATCATCTTCTGCTGAAATTGTTCTCTTCAACATCAAATATTTTGGGATTTGGGGCTCCCTTCCCCCTACTCACTCCCAGTTACTCTGTACCTTATTTATGTTATACCGATCTAGGGACATTACATCTATCCCAGTGTAACATCATTCCTGGAGGAACAGAATCATTTTGTTGTTCTATCGTACTGTATCCTCAGCTTCTAGTACAATGCCTTGTACATGGTAGTTAATAACCATTAGCTGAATTTTAATTTGAAATTTGTTCAACAAAACAAAAAATTCAGTTACTGCACAGCATCTCACCTAATAAATTACAGTTGCCTGAATGTGTCTGTTGTAGTAGAAAGAATTTCACAGGAGGAACTAAGATCCATCTGTCTATAGGTAGAACTCATTTACAAAAGTTTCATTTTAGCGAACTGAGTGGGACATCAAAATTGTTACTCATTGTCATGCCAGGGTATATATGTCATAGAAGGCTGCATGAATAAAGAGGTGTAGCCCTGCCTGGGGAAGCTATAGCAAGGTCAGTGCCAGGGAGCCAGTGTGAGGTAAGGAGCACAATAGCTTCAGGGTCAGGAAAAGCCACAAGTCAGAACCCAGTTTGGGTTCCCAACCTGGTTAATTGCCTAGGTACAAGTAAGCACAGCATCTCGGTATCAGGCAAACAGAAACTCCTAGGACCACAGATTGAGAGCTGGAAGGGACTTCCAAATCCAACACCTTCACTTAGCAGATGAGGAAACAGAAGCTCGTAGATACTGGCAGAAATTTTGGAACCAGGCAATCTGCAAGTATTACAGGAACAAGGTTGGATCAAAATAGACAAAAAGGATCAGTAATCCAGGAAAGAAAAAAGGACCACCAGGACTTTGTATAACAGATATCAGCAGCAACTAAAGAGCTTAAGAACTGAGCCCAAAGCTATTTGACCTCAGACAGTTCTCAGCACGTGGGAGGTTCCTTACTATCTGTCTGACCCCTGGCTTCTGAGGCTTCCCCGCCCCATCCCTTCATGTATGTTCACCTTGCTCATTTACCTGCCTGGTTCTACTCCACAGCTGGTCCTAATACTGTGGTTTGTAGCTGGCTTTTCCCTAGGTACTTTATTGATAAAGAACTGTATTAGGACACTAGACCCAATCTGATCGGTTCATATTAGCAACTTTTCCCCCATTGATCAACTTGACAAGGCCAGCTCTGAAGCTCTTTCTGGTGATCCATAGACTCAGATAAGCAATATCCTGACTCAGAATCTCTGCTCTCCCAAGAGCTCTGAAATAAGGCATTGCTCTTGAAGCATGGGGCCAAGAAGATATGTCCTCTGGAAATACTACTGAACCACACAAATAAGTGAGAAGTGAGTGCTTCTGCATGCTGTGGGCTTACTAAATACGCCCTTGGTCTGTGCGGTTCCGCAAATGTTTCTCTAGAGCAGCGTTCTCAAACCTTTTTTGGTCACACACTCCATCAATAAAAATATCTTGAGCATGCATCCCAACATGTGCAATTTTCTTGGTTGCTCAGTTGTTTCAGTCATATCTGACTCTTTGTGACCCCTTTTGGGGTTTTCTTGGCAAAGATACTAGTGATTTGACATTCCCTTCTCCAGCACGTTTTACAGATGAGGAAACTGAGGTGAGGTTAAATGACTTGCCCAGGGTCACACAGCTAGTAAGTGTCTGAGACCAGATTTGAACTCAGGAAGATGAATCTTTTTGACTCCAGGCCCAGAAGGATTTAGACTACAAGGGACCATGAAAATCATTAAGTACAACTCTCCCATTTTATAGATGAGGACACCCCTAGGAAGGGGAAATTATTTGCCCAAAGCTACCAGGCCCTCTTGGGCAGCTAGGTGGCACAATGATAGAGCACCAGGTCTAGAGTCAGAAAGACTCCTCTTCCTGAGTTCAAATCTAGCCTAAGGCACTTACTAGCTGTGTGTGACCCTGGGCAAGTCACTTAACCCTGTTTGCCTTGGTTTCCTCATCTGTGAAATGGCCTGGAGAAGGAAATGGCAAGCCACTCCAGTGTCTTTGCCAGGAAAACCACAAATGGGCTCATGAAGAGTTGGACACAACCGAAATGACTGAACAACAACAATCAGGTCATCTGACTTCAAAATCCAGTATTCTTTCCACTACCCTGATCTCTTTGTTAGAAAAATATCTATGTAAATATATGCTGAAAAATCATTTAATAAAATTACCATTTGAAAATGCTGTAAAAGTTTTTTCTTTCCATTCAAATAATGATGCTTAATTCATTTTTATCCTCAGTGTTCTTTTACCTTCATCACTTTCATCCTTTTTTTCATAATCTTCCTATGCCATCCACAACATTTTCAATGCTATCCACAACATTAAAAAGGCAGCATTTTTTTAGAGCTAAAGATGATAATGGTTTTTTTTTTTAGGCGATTGGGGTTAAGTGACTTGCCCAGGATCACACAGCTAGTAAGTGTCAAGTGTTTGGTCTGAGGTCAGATTTGAACTCAGGTCCTCCTGACTTCAAGGTCGGTGCTCTATGCACTGTGCCACCTAGTTGCCCCAGAGATGATAAATTTAGAAGACATTCTTCTCATGAAACTAAAAATAAATTGGACATTAGCTATATTTATAGTATTTCATTTTTCTTCCTGATGAAGAGGTGCAATCTACTAGCAAAAGCCAATTGATTACTATCTTTGGAAGTTGTCCTAAAAG